GGGTTCAGGCAATTCTCCTGCCCCAGACTCCTGAGTCGCTGGGATTACAGGCACGCGCCACCATGCCCAGCTAATTTTTTGTAGCTTTAGCAGAGACGGGGTTTCACCGTGTTGATCAGGATGGTCTCGATCTCTTGACCTCGTGATCCACCCGCCTCGGCCTCCCAAAGTGCTGGGATTACAGGCTTGAGCCACCGCGCCCGGCTTCTTTTTCTTTTCTATCATGTCCCTTGGGTCTCACTCAGTTAAGGATAGGATCTGTTCTTTTCCTCTGAGCCCGGGACAAGTTTGATTCCAGGAGCCTTCTGAGTGGAGCTCCTGAAAGAAACAAGACTCTGTTGTTGATCCTAACTGCTTCTCTTAGCACCGCTTTGAGGTGAATAATGTTAAAAAATCACGAGCGAGAATGGGATCACATTAAAGGGACAGAGAAGTATATACCCTGGCAAAGACTAGCACATAGTAAGTATTCAATAATGCCCTTTGTTATGTATAAAATTTTTCTCTTTGGTGTCGAAAAGAAAAATTAGTACTGGGACAAAGGATCTCTCAGCAAAGCAGTTTTTTTTTTAAATTCCTGCAGAAAGGGTACTCCCATGGGCAATCTTGCCAAAAGAGTACAATGAACAAAGGAAAGCAGATATATTTATTTCTTAGGCATTTGGGGTTGTCCTTACTGCTGTGTCTTACCTCCATTGGCTGCAGCCAGACCTCACAATCTAAACTAAAACCTGATTGGCTAATAACTTGAAACTTTTCTAAACAGGTAAAAGCAATGGAGAGCAAAAAAACAGGAAGTCCAAATAAGGAAGGTACATTGGCTGCAAGCTGACATGCCTGTGAGCACGTCCAGCACAGATATCTTGGTTAAAGTACAAGGACGTAGAATGTACTACGTGCCTGTGAGCATGTCTAACAGCTACATAGGATAGGGCTTTTAGCAAAAAGGCAAGAAGACTTTTGAAGAAAGTGTTTAAAACAAACTATTATTTCCAACACTTATGAATTTTTCTTAAACAAGAAAGGAACGTTTGAAAAGGAACTCTTTTTACTTCTCACATCCTTGCCTTTCTTTAATATTTTTTTCAGCTAGTTTTCACTTTTATTCTGTCCAGGGTAGTTTCTTGTGCTCTCAGTTCAATTTGGATGTTTTCTTATTTGGGCATATCTTAACATCTGTACATGGTCTTCCAAACTCAAGGGCTTGTAAATGATTCTGAGTCAATTGTGGTGGCTCACGCCTATAATCTCTACAAAAAAAAATTTCCTTTGTTGAGACGGAGTTTCACTCTTGTTGCCCAGGCTGGAGTGCAATGGTGCCAGCTCACCACAACCTCCGCCTCCTGGGTTCAAGGGATTCTCCTGCTTCAGCCTTCCAAGTAGCTGGGAGTACAGGCATGCACCACCACTCCCTGCTAATTTTGTATTTTTAGTAGAGACAGGGTTTCTCCATGTTGGTCAGGCTGGTCTTGAACTCCTAACCTTAGGTGGTCCACCCACCTCGGCCTCCCAAAGTGCTGGGATTATAGGTGTGAGCCACCGTGCCCGTAAAAAAATTTTTTTTTTAAATTAGCCAGGTGTGGTGGTGCGTGCCTGGGTCCCAGATACTCTGGAGGCTGAGGTGGGAGGATTATCTGAGCTGGGGAGGTTGAGGCTTCAGTGAGCTATGATTACACCACTGCATTCCAGCCCAGGTGATAGAGCAAGACCCTGAAAGGAAGGAAGGAAGGAAGAAAGGAAGGAAAAAAGAAAGAAAGAGAGAAAGAAGAAAGAGAGAGAAAGAAAGAGAAAGAAAGAAAGAAAGAAAGAAAGAAAGA